GGTCAGAATAAGGGGAGAGAGCCCCCCCCCCCCCTCTATCATAGCAGCAGTGTGGAGAGAGAGCCCCCCCAGTGTCCTAGGGGCAGTAAGGGGAGAGACCCCTCCCCCCTGTACCATGGCTACAATAAGGGGAGAGATCCCCCCAGTATCATGACCATAGTAGGGGGAGAGACCCCCCCTCACCCCACGTATCATGGTCAGAATAAGGGGAGAGAGCCCCCCCCCCCCCTCTATCATAGCAGCAGTGTGGAGAGAGAGCCCCCCCAGTGTCCTAGGGGCAGTAAGGGGAGAGACCCCTCCCCCCTGTACCATGGCTAGAATAAGGGGAGAGATCCCCCCAGTATCATGACCATAGTAGGGGGAGAGACCCCCCCTCACCCCACGTATCATGGTCAGAATAAGGGGAGAGAGCCCCCCCCCCCCCTCTATCATAGCAGCAGTAGGGGCAGAGAGCCCCCACCCACATCATAGCTGAAGTAAAGGGAAGAGCACCCTCCCAGTATTATGGCTGCGGGAGGGATTTCACTGAGCCTTATAACCACACCTATCTAACACCTAGTCTGTGAAACTGCCTGTCTGCTGGAAGATGGACTGACAAATTAAGAGGAAAATCCAAGAAAAAATATCCTCAGATGGGAAAGAGACGGGTAGAGGCAGGGGCCGAGGAAGTAGGAGGTTGCGGGGGGGTGGGCAGACAAGGAAATAGGGGGCCATTTGGTGTTACCCTGAGCGACAGGATGTGGTAAGGAGAGAGGGAGGAGCTTGCAGGGTACTGGCCCTTTAGACGGAGGTGCTTTCAGTTTCTCAGTGCTCGGCTCCTCCTCCTTCTCCTCCTCTTCGCTGCAGCCAGCCCCTGTTTTTCCCCGCACTGCGAACAGGCAGTGGTTCTGTCCTACGTGCTTGCAGCTCTGTTGTTGTGCAGAGCTGCAGCTACCGTGCTGAGACAGGGAGGGAGAAAGGGAGAGGGAGAGAGTGAGCAACAGTGAGAGACGGAGCGAGCGAGTGAGAGAGAGGGAGGGAGAATATTCAGGACGGAGCGCCAGCAATTGTCTGTGCATTCTGCCGCCGCTCAGAAACCAGCAGCAGCAGTAGAGAGAGAGAGAGAAAGAAAGCGAACAGCAGAGTGAAAATACAGAGAGGGTGAAAAGGAAGTGAGGAAGGAAGAAGGCCTTCGGAGGGTGCTGTCGCGTCGCTTTGACTCGCACGCAGCTCCATTGTTTATTGTTGTTGCTTTTTTATTCTCCGAGCGCTGTCGTCCATCCTCTTCAGCAAGCCAAGGGCTGAAGCAGGGGGTGTGGGCAGCGGCCCCCTCTGACACACACACGGTGTGGACTCGTCGAAGGGGGGTGACGCCAGAGAGAAAGTGGGGGGGGGGTCCTCATTTTTCCGTCCATTGGTTGTCGCTCTGTCGTTCGGCGGCGGGCGAGAGGTCCCCTGACTTCTGATGTCCCTGAACTCTGAGAAATCCTCATCCTCCGAAAGGTAACTGTGCCTGTCTCCTTTGCATCCGTCTGCTTGCCTGCGTTTGTCATTCTTGTGTCCCGCCCCCCCCCCCCTCCGAAACACCACTCTTTGCTTATTTCTACCCTTGGCATGATCTAATCTTCTGTTTGTTTCGAGCATTACCATGTTGAGTACGTCACACAAGGTGTGTCTGACATACTGTAGTTTCGCATGATGCCAAAACATGGCCTACGTGCGTGTGCCCCTTCACAGGACGACCAGCATCCAGGCTCTCAGATAATCCTGTAGAGGCGAGCTGTGGACCAATCAGCATCCATAATAAATACGCTAAACCAATGAGCAGCAGTATAACATGGAAATGTGCTGTCCTGCTGGTCCCAGTATTGCAGACAGGTTAATGGGCATTGAGCCAGCGACTTGCATGCAGCCCCAGTCTGAATTGGACGCTGCAAATCCTGGGCTGTGCCCGCCCACCCCCCCGATATTCTGAAGTAACACTGCCCGTTCGATCGAGGTAATCATAGTGATGCATGTCACTATGGCACATGCAGTGCTGGGAGAGGCTACACATGCCCAGCACCTGACCGTTTGCCAAGTATGAATAGGCAGAACCAGGGGATTTATCCTGGCACTGAGGGATATATAGGGATGGGCAGGCAGGGCACAGGGACAGAGGTTTATTTACATGAAGGTTATTTAAATGAAGGGCTGCACTCTGGAGCTCCATGTGTGTGTGTGTGTGTCTGTCTCCCAGGACACCTGCGCAGGAGGTTCAGAGTGGGCTGACAGCAGAAGCTGACATTAACCATAGTCTGCAGTTTAGACTGTTTCTGCTGTATTAGCGACTTTTTCTGTTATGTCTTTTTGTATCTACATATTCAGGCATGCATGTTTCTGATTGCTTATTTTCTGTGTGTGTGTCTCGGGGGGGAGGGGGGGGGTCAGTTTTTATTACATTATGGGGACCAAATGTCCCCAGAGTTTGATAAACACCTGCTATTTTCCCATTGTGGGGCCCATTTTTTCGGTTCCCCACAAGAGGAAATTCAGTTAAAAAAAAAAAATAATAATTCTGTCACTGCAATCAAAAAACTGAAAATGCCAAAAGTCTTGTATTTTGTTTGGTTACTTATGGTTAGACTTAGGGTTGGATAGGGGTTAAGATTTGTCATTGCTGGGATTAGGGTTTTGTCCCTGGACATGTGTGGATGGTCCCCACAATGGTTTGAGTACAGGTCTGTGGCGTGTGTGTGCGCATGCATGTGTCGTTTTGTGTTTACCACATTGAGGGGACATTTTTTGGTTATTTGTAAAAATCTGAATGCAATCAAAAAACTAAAAATGTCATGTCAAATGTCAAAAAATGTTTGCATAGATCACATTTGAGGACCAAATTGTCCCCAAAGTGTCCCCATTAAGATAGGAAGACCAACATGTCTGAGTGTGTGAGTGAGAGTGTGTGAGTGTGTGTGAGTGAGAGTGTGAGACTGCATGCACGCAAAGGGATATACACACATGTATGCATGTGTGTCGGTCTGGCTGGTGAAATGCCAAAGCCTGCAGGTGAGCCAGAATGACTCACTGTGTTTTTACTGCGATTACCAGAGCTGCCACTCGAACGGGCATCTGAGAGGGGGAGGTTATAATTTGGGGAGGGGGGATTCATCAGCTGATGTACCAAACTGTCTTTCCAAACCCCCCCCCCCCTGCCCAGCCCCCGTTGTCTAGTTCAGTTCCCACCCCTAAACGATGAGCAATCAGAACAGGGCTTCCAACAGAGCCAGGCGTGTCTAATTGTGATCGGAGGGATGTCACCTTCCATCTTCCAGACGGCTGCCTTGGTTATTCACACTGTCTCTGGGATAAGACATGATGAATTGCTAGTTAATGAGGCCTGGAAGTAAAGCTCATCAAAAACACTCATGCCTGGGAGTCTAGGTCAGGTTTGCAGGCAAACTGGCTGGTTCCAGACTGCCTCTATCTGCTAACCAAGAGCATGTCCTGGGGTCAGCGGCGGAGTGCCTGCTAACATCCCCCATGTGCCAGACTGTAACAGCCATCCAAGCTTTGACCTACTCCATTCCATCAATGGGCAGACTGTGACTTAAATGTATGTTGGTTAGAGTCTCTATCACTCCATTCGCCATTCACAGTTATGCTGCTTTCGGAACCCGGCAGTACAAATGAGAGGATGAATGAGCATGAATCCTTGTGTCTAGTAACATCTCACATCAAGTTTCACCACGTGGCTCTATAATTTGCATGTTGTAACCCTGCCGTAAGATGGAAACTTTGGTGATTTGGTACGTTGCTGAAGACGATCAGACTCTGGGAAGCTGACCCTATGGCCTGTAATGGAATCCACGCACTGGTATCACCGGTAGTCATGTGACCCTGTTCCTCTACCTGATACTGCATGTAGGAAATGAGATGGTGAGGCTTACAAGGTGGATGACTTTCAGTAACAGCAGCAGCCTGTTACTGAAACATTCTCTCATAAGTGACAGCCAATCAGCTGTCAGCCTTCATTCCAAAGAATGGCTGTTGCCCTTACGTCGAAATGGCTCCCAAAGAAGGAGTAAAGTAGAAGAGGCCGTTTACTGCATGTGGTCGCTGATGTTTAAACATGCTCTCCTCTGGGACTTCCTTTTTCCCACATAACAACCAAGAACTTTCTCTCCATTCCTTGTTTGCATTTCATCCTGCTCCGAGTTTAATTGCCTGTTTCTGTTGGCGCAACTTTCTGCAATTGAGGAAACCTTCCTACTCAGGCAGCAAGACCAGCATGGGCTTAAGAGGCCCAAGGAATCGTTCCCATCCCTCCACCCAACGCCCCTGGACCCACAGTCGCCAGGAAGCTGTTTTTCCACATGTACGTCTGGTGGTCTACAGTGATTTATGAGCCAGAAGAATGGAGGGCAGGGCTGATGTAGATGTGACACACTTGTCTCTGGTGCCCCCCCCCCCATCTGGGTCAGGCCTCCATCTTGCACACCATCTAGCTTACCGCTCATCGGCCGTTACTGCCACTCCCGTTCCTCAGCCTGCTTCTCGGGGCAGTTCGCGGGGATGATGAAGTCTAGAATAGCCCGGAATAGGCAGTAAGTCGGAAGGGCGGATGGGTTATGGGTTGATGGTAGTCTTGGGAGGAAGTCGTCCCAGTGGAGTTTCACTGAGAAGCGGAAAGATTGAGGGCCAACTCAGTTCTTCATTCTAATTTTGGGAAGACAGTAAGCATTGGGTCCCAGCTGCTCGTTAGAGCTATAATCTGTTCTAAAATCGCATTTTGTTTTTTTTGTTTTTTTGGCCCAGGAATGATAATGATGTTTGTTGCTCTAGCATCAACTCAAATTGCCAATCTCAAGTGAAGATTCCTGGCCTAGCACAGTAACTCAACAGTCCCTTGATCTGCTCAAATCTATTTCCAACCTTAGTTTTTTTTTTTCCTTTTGGTGGGATCAGCAAACTCATCTGCAGAGTCTGGTGCAATCCCTCCAGCAGCCTCTGAGCTGAAGGAAAACACACCGGCCTTCACGTCGTCCCAGTTTCGAATCAAACAAGTGCAGCGACGTGTCTGAAAATCATCCGAGACTTCATCTCAGTTTGTTTATCTCTCTCTGCTTTTTTGTGCTGTCACTGTGCTCGTTTGTAATGTTTGTGTCCGTGTTTTTTCCACGTGTGTCTGCATGTGTGTGTGCCATACAGTCTCATCTGCATGACTGCATTTGGTTGTGTGTCATCAGCTGGGTTTCACACCTGGGTGTGAGGGAGCCATGTGACCATTTTTGAGACCTGCCCCACCCTATTAGTGAGGTTAGATTCTAGAGGCATCGGCCGTCTGCTCCTGTCCACATGGATCGCAGTGTGTCTCGCTCTGAGGTAGCGCTGGGGCTCGCACTTAGAGCACTCCGACTTTGGAGGCACAGAGCCCTGAGGGAGCAGTGCAGCAGGTAGGGGGGTTTCTGGGTAAAGAGCTTCCAGGGTATGTGGGATATGTGGGTATGAGGGGTTTGGCAAATGCAGGTGATAGAGGATATCTAATATATGACAAACGTAAACTGTTTTTATTCAGGACCTGAGGAGAGATATAGCTATAGTTTCTTATTATGATTTACATGTATCAAAACTGATGGGGGTGGAAGAGGAGCCCCCCCCCCCCCTCCGCTATGGCAACATCTAGTGTTTGGAAACTCACCTGTTTCAGAGAAATTGACAGGTCTGGACACTGTGTATGAGTTTTGTTGGGGCTGAATTAGGTGGAATCGTTCACTGCAGAATCAATGGGAAGTGACCGCGACGATAATCCGTGTGTCATAATCAGTGTGCATGTGTGGTAACATGAGGCAGGGCTGCCAGCGTGCAGGCTTTGCACAGTGACGTAAGCAGGACTGGAATAGCAGTGAGATCTCACTTCTCCATGCAGACTCTGGCAGGGGGGGGGGGGGGGGTGGATTGTGTGAGCCAGCAGCCTACCAGGCTGTGGAGAGGGAGCAGAGCTGGGAGGCAGGGAGGCTCTCGGAGCCCGCTGACTTGTTACTGCTGCATACTCCTGTGACTAATGGCCTTGCTTTAATCCAGCTTCATAGCTCACATCTGATGCTTTTATCTAAAGTCGCAGTTCTCACCCATGGACGCAGCTTGATATTGAATTGGAAAGTCCGGATGTCTTTTTTTTTTTTTTTAGCTAGTCTGGTGCATGAGGTTAGTGAACATGTCTTTACAAGACTGCCTGTTCTGGACCATGCAGTGCTACGCCACCAGGCATGAAAATCACCCTTAAAATATGTCGCACAGCATTGGACCAGTACTTGGAAAAGCTGATATGGCAGCCGAGTCAGTATGGTGGCATTCATGGTGAAAGAAACAGGCTTACAAACATGGCTTTGTCTCTGCAAGATTCACAGGCCGTGCTTCTCCTGTGTGATGTCCCCATCACGCCGCGCCCTTGTGTCATGGGCTGTCTCTTCAGTGCCACTAAATGGGCTCAGCCAAGATATCAGGTGTGAGGCTCGGGGGGGGGGGCGGCCTGTGTACACCACCTTCCACACAGCGGCGCACACACTCTACGGTGTCATCCATGTTTTATTCTTATTCTTATTCTTTATATAAAAATAAATATACAGTTGACGCACAGAGACATGCAGAAGATTGCGGTAACATTCTCTTAGGAGAGCATAGCATTTCTGCGAACAGATTTCAGAACAAATGGAAAACAATCATTAAATTCTCTGCTTTGCTAGGCTAATGAACTATTGTAGCAGTTCGTGCTAATTGAAAGTTAGCCTGTAGCGTGTCGGGTCAGCCTGTGGTGAGCTTGTTTCAGCCGGTCGACAGTTAGTGAAGGTCACACCCAAGTCTGTGTGGATACCAGCTCCTGTGAATTTGCCCGTGCAGGTTAGCGCAGGCATGCCGGGTGGCCCGCTCGTCGACGAATCACAAGATGGCGCCGCGTAGGACATACCGCAGAGATGTGCGGAGGGCGAGCGGGAGGTGGGAGGCAATGTGGAGCCCGGGTGTGGAATGCCGCACCCCTTCGCCGTCTTCCAGCACACAGGGCCGTTGTTTATCGGCACCGTCGTAGAGCCTCTGAACTCGCACTGAAAGCCAGGTCGCGTTTACCATGACGGTAAATGATGAGCCGAGCAGGGGGGGGGGGGACACGGTTGCAATAATAATGAAGGACCGTTGAAATGAAAGGACGTCCACTGAACAGTGATCACTGTATGGTCAGTACAGGTGATTAGAGCAGAAAGAAGCAAATAAACGATTAAGGCCTGATATTAGCCTGCCCTCTATGTGGAGGAGTGTTAATCCTCCGCTCTGAGCGGCTCTGATACGCTTGGCTGCTGCGTAGGCTCTTTGCTGTTATCTCAGTAGGGCTTCCTAGGGGGCATTCTGGGTAATTTGAACAATTTAAAACACACTATATATTTTATTTTATTTTTATTTTTTTAAATAGCGCAGCCTGCCATGAGCAGAGGTGAAGTCGGCACTGTCTCCATCCCCCTGTCGGCAGCATCATTTAATCTTTCCTTCTTGATAAATCATCATGGTGTCCCAATCCTTACATTTTAATTGGGTGATAATTGACGGTGAAATGCAGCTGATTAGTATTGCAGAGATAAGGCTGATTGATGCAGTGCTTAACAGGTTAGTCATCCTGGTTTTCAGCTGACCGAGGACCATTTACAGTTTTACCTGTTATAAATTAAACTGTGCTCTCGGAATGCTGAACAAGCTGTTTGTTGTGCTTGGGTGTTTGTGTATACAGCAGCAAGTCCAGACAGGAGCCTGCCATTAGAGTGTAAGTGTACCTATCCACCCATAAAAAAGCCTGTACTGTGTGAACCCTAGAGGTCTGGACATGCCCAGCGTTCCACAGACAGGTGGGTTCACAGTGACAGTGTATACACACGTGCACACACACCAGTGCTAAGCTCAGAGAACAGCACATAGTCTCAGCACACACATACTGTGGAGACATGGAGGTCTGCTTATTCATAGCCAGAGCTCCAGCACACACACACACACACACACACGCACACATATATATATTATAAAATTTCCCCTTGTGGGGACCAAAACAATGGTCCCCACAACGTCAAAATTACAGGTATTTATTTATTTATTAAAATGACTGTGTTTTTGGCCATGCCAGCTTGGCTGAGCATTTGCATCACAGAATGTTTAGTGCAGCTTTAACAAGGCCTGACATGAAGGTACATTTGCTGCTGGCTGTCTGTGAGCACGCAGCCCTGAGTGCAGTTATGCAGAGATCCAGTGCAGTAAAGAATGATGGGAATGAGGAATATGCCAGTAATTCCCTTCTGCATCCACCATCTTTAAAGTGGACACGTTAGAGGATGCAGGGGAGAGCTGGCACACACATGTGCTAGTGGACACAACACGCATATTCTCCTTTGCAGTGCATACGCTCTTCACACGCGCAGTGCAACGCACTCACTCATGAAGGTAGGCACGCACTGAATCCTGTGTGCCTGTTGCCATAGAAACTGTTTCCCAGGCTTCCTGCGCTCAAAGCGGAGAACGAGATGTGACAGCGACGCCACAACTCTCTGCACGCCGAATATTTCTGCGATTTCCAACTGTAATCCGATCGATTGAGCTTTATTGTCAAACAACGTACGTACGTATGTTCTTTTCTGCTGGAATGGCAGTCTCGCCCTGCTCTATATGGGTGACCTTTTCTGGTCGCGTCCCAGTGTCCTGAGGGAAACACTGCACCCCGGTAGGTGCTGGAAGTCCCCATGTTCCACGGCTTCTCCACGCTCCCAGGCTGGGTCTGAGGTAATGCCGCAGTAAGCTAATGTGCGCCCCCCCCCCCCACACACAGGCCTGAGAACCAGCAGAAAGCCCCCTCGGCGCCTCTTCCCCCTCCGCCTCCGCCACCACCCCCGCCCCCAGAGCCGGCTGCCCCACCAGAGCCAGAAGAAGAAATCCTGGGCTCCGATGATGAGGAGCAGGAGGACCCTGCGGACTACTGTAAAGGTGAGGGGGGGGGAACCCCAGCCGCCACAGCACGCCATGCATGTGGTGGGGAGGTGCAGAGGCACCAGCTCGATTTATTCAGTTCAATTCAAGTTTACTTCTATAGTGCATTTTCACAATATTACATTGTATCAAGGCGCTTTACACTGTCCTCGCCCAAAGCCTCCAGAGAGTAAGCCAGAGGTGACAGTGGCAAGGAAAAACTCCCTAGAAGGAAGAAACCTTGGGAGGAACCAGACTTAAAGGGGGAGCCCATCCTGCTGTGGTTAGCAAAGGAAATCCAAAATAGCAAAGTCCCAGTTTATAAAGTAAAATTGTGTGTAGTGCAGGTATAAATGCTGAAGGTCCAGCTGATGTCAGGACAGATGGGTGAAGAAGCTGCTTCCTTTGGTGGGTTGGGGGGGGGGTTCATTCCGTCAGAGTGAGCCTTTGCTAAGTGAAAGCTAGATTGTTTGGTGCTATATAACTATTACATATTTATACATTATCTAGCTGCAGGTGTCTGTGTGTATATTGCAGGCAGTAGCAATGTTTACCACCTCTCAAACTACACATTTACGTGGCTTCCCCCACTGGCCACAAACGGTCATTACACTCATTATTAAATAAACATGTCTGTTATTTAGGAAATGCCAAAGCAGCATGTTCTGATAACCAGCTAGCTACAAGCTTCTGATTCTACTCAGTAGATATTTACAGTGGTACCTCAGTTCTCAAACTCATTAGAACTCGAATTTCTTAAAAGTCGAACCAACCAGTTCAAAAAAAAAATTACCTAGAGCTCGATCTGAATCTCAGAAGTCAAACCGTGAACGCCGACCTAAGATAACTTGTACGCGCGGGGAAATGAGTCACGCGGCACGTCTCTCAGCGGAAACAAAGGGTAAAGCTTCAGTCTCAGCCTCACATTCGCTGTGATAGCACCGTGCATGTTTACACTAGCTGAATACATATGTGGGGTATTTTTAGACAGTAAAAATACATTTAGACAATGATAGACAGTAACAGTAATTATTATATAATAAAATACATTTTGAAATAAAGATTTCTTATTCATTATTTTAATATTAATAATAAACCATTAATACATTTAATTATAATGATATTGTCGTGCCGAGCGGGGACGGAACGGAGACAAAGTCGCAGACATCAGGGTATCGGGGAATATGGGGTTTAATTACTGGTAAGGCATGCAAAACGCAGACGGACAATACAATGACCGGACTGGGGAAACAAACTGAAACATGGACGAAATACAGAGGACTAATGACAACAGCCAGAAACAGCTGATCACACAGAGATTCCACACGAGGTTAACGAGGGGGCGTGGCACAAGGAAGGAGCGGATGATCGGGGCAGGACACATTGTTAACTTTACACATTGTTTGGATACTTTTATAATCTTACTTTACAAATTACTGTTTTGATAAATGTGCTTAGATGTGTTTAGTACAGTATATACTCTTGTTTTATCCAGTTCACTTTGTGTTTTAAATGCTAAAAAGAAATCATGTTTAGGTGTCATTTTTTGGGGCTGGGAACCAATTAATTGGTTTTCCATTGTTTTTTATGGGGAAAATTCAATCAGAACTCGAACTTTTTAAGATTTGATCTGGAGTTCTGAACAGATTAAGTTCGAGTTCTGAGGTATCACTGTAGTTATTTTCTGAAACATCTGGGGAGTGACTTTTTGAAAGGGGCCCCAGAAACATTCATGGTGCCGGTAGCTGTCTCACACGTCAGCTGCTAACCTTATTACCCATCAGCCTCTCTTCTATCCCCCTTGTCCCCTCGGCAGGAGGGTACCACCCAGTAAAGATCGGGGACCTGTTCAATGGACGCTACCATGTGATCCGCAAGCTTGGCTGGGGCCACTTCTCCACGGTGTGGCTGTGCTGGGACATCCAGTGAGTACGATGGCTCATCAGAGCAGCCACATCCCCGCAGGGGACGAGGAGCACCCAGTGTGGCGGCGGCGCAACCCACACGGCAAATCTGAGAAGCAAATGAGGCGTCCGCCATGTAAATGTGCTTTAAACACACTGAGATAGCATCTCCTCTGTGGCAGAGGCTATTAGACAGACACGATGTCATTCAGGCAGACACACCCCCGCACGCATGCGCACACAGTCTGTCTACCTTCCTCTGCATGCATCTTCAGCTGCAGCTCTTAAATTGTGTGTGTGTGTGTGTGTGTGTGTGTGTGTGAGAGAGAGAGAGAGAGAGTGATATACACTCACTGGCTACTTCATTAGGTACACCTTGCTAATACCGAGTTGGACCACCTTTTGCCTTCAGAATTGCCTTAGTTCTTCATGGCATAGATTGATCAAGGTGTTTAAAACATTCCCCAGAGACTTTGGTCCATGTTGACATGATTGCATCACGCAATCACTGCAGATTTGTTGGCTGCACGTTCATGATGCAAAAATCCCGTAGGTGCTCTGTTGGATTGAGATCTGGTGCCTGTGGAGGCCATTTGAGTACAATGAACCCATTGTCACATTCAAGGAACCAGTCTGAGATGATATGAGCTTTGTGACATGGCCTGATATCCTGCTGGAAGTAGCCATTAGAAGTTGGATACAATGTGGTCATAAAGGGATGGAGATGCTCAGCAGCGATAGGATGTGGCATTTAAGCGCTGTGGAATGTAAACCTGGCACTAAGGAGCCCAAACTGTGCCATGATAATATGTTCAGAAAGCCCTTTGCACCATTACACTACCACCATAAACCTGAATTGTCAATACAAGGCAGGATGGATCCATGCATTCATGTCGTTTACGCCAAATTCTGACCCTACCATCTGAATGTCACAGCAGTAATCTAGACTTATCTGACCAGCCAATGTGTTTCCAGTCTTCCATTGTCCAGTTTTGATGAACCCGTGCCCACTGTAGCCTCAGTTTCCTGTTTGTAGCTGACAGGAGTGGCACCCGGTGTCGTCTTCTGCTGCTGTAGCCAATCTGCTTCCAGGTTCGCCATGTTGTGCGTCCAGTGATGCTCTTCTGCATACCTTGCTTGTAATGAGGGGTTATTTGCGTTCCTGTTGCCTTTCTGTCTGCTTGAACCAGTCTGCCCATTCTTCTCTGACCTCTGCCAACAACAAGCCATTTTCACCCAGAGAGCCGCTGCTCACTGGATGTTTTTCTTTTTCGGCCCATTCTCTGTAAACCCTAGAGATGGTTCTGCATGAAATTCCAGTAGATCAGCAGTTTCTTATGCCATATTCAAAGTCACTTAAATCACCTTTCCTCCCTATTCTGGTGTTTGATGTGAACATTAACTGAAGCTCCTGACCTGTATCTGCATGATTTTATACATTTTGCTGCTGACATCTGATTGGCTGATTATATATTTGCTTCAATCAGCAGTTCAACAGGTATACCTAAAAAGTAACCGAGTATAGACACTCAATTGTGTTTCTTTGTACGTGACACAGACCATTTTTCAGGTCCCTACAAAGATCTGTGAATGCAATCAAAAAACTAAAAATGCCGAAAGTCTTTTGTTTGGTTACTTATGGTTATGGTTAGGGCTGGGTAGTGGTTAAGGTCATCATGTTTTCCCCATAGAAATAAAATGGAGAGTCCCCACAAAGATGTAATTATTAACCTTGGTGCGTGCATGTGTGTGGTACAGTGTGTGTGTGTGGTACAGTGTGTGTGTGTGTGTGTGTGGTACAGTGTGTGTGTGGTACAGTGTGTGTGTGGTACAGTGTGTGTGTGGTACAGTGT